ACTACAAAAAAGATGTTGAGATTTTAGAAAAAGTTCACAGAAGAGCAACTAAAATGATCAAAGGCCTGGAAACTAAAACATACGAAGAACGGTTGCAGAATTTGGGTTTAGCTAGTCCAGAGAAAAGAAGGACTAGGGGGGGACATGATAGCAGTATTCCAATATTTGAGGGGCTGCCACAAAGAAGAGGGGGGGGTCAAATTCTCCAAAGGACCTGAAGGCAGGACAAGAAGCAATGAATGGAAACTAATCAAGCAGAGAAACAACCTAGAATTAAGGAGAAATTTCCTGAGAGAACAATTAAGTGGAACAACCTGCTTCCAGAAGTTGTAGGTTCTCCATCAATGGAGGTTTTTAAGAAGAGACTGGACAGCCACTTGTCTGAAATGACATAGGGGGGCTGGACTAGAAGACCTCCAAGGTCCCTTCCAGCTCTACTGTAATGTTGAAGAGTACTGGGCCTAAGAGAGAGCTTTGGGGTACCCCACTGCGTGCTTCCCTCCATGTAAACATCACAGCTCCATTCAGGGCCACACACCTGAGTGCGTTGGTCGGTGGCTGGCAACTCCCTCTGGTGGTGAGGCTATCTGTCCCCCACTGTGCTCTCTTTCCATCCCGTGGTCTACTTTGTCAACTGCCTTGCTGGCGTCCAAGTAATAGTAATAGTAGCAAAGTTGGAAGGGACCTTGGAGGTCATCTAGTCCAACCCCCTGCTCAGGCAGGAAACCCTACACCATTTCGGACAAATGGCTGTCCAGTCTCTTCTTAAAAACTTCCAGTGTTGGAGCATTTACTGCTTCTGGAGGCAGGCTGTTCCACTGATTAATTGTTCTAACTGTCATGTATATGATCTTCACAGCATTTACCTGATCCGTTAATTTAGTCACTTTATCCAAGAAGGCAATAAGGTTTATTTGGCATGAGCTGCTTTTAACAACCGCACCCTGGCTTCCAGGAATCGCCTGATTCATTTCTGGATGTTCACAAACCTACTGCTTGATTACTGTGTCTTTTCCAGGATTTCACCGCATATTGATGTCAAGCTGTTCGGCCTGTAGTTTCCTGGATCTCCTTTTTACTCTTTTCAAAGGCTGGAGTCACATCAGCTCTTTTCCAGCCGACAGGCAGTTCCCCAGTTGTCCAGTGGTTCTGAAATCATGTTTGCCAGCTCCCTCAAGACCCTGGGATGTAAATACTCACCCAAAGGAGACGAATCCTTCTCTTGCCAAATCCTTGTCTATCTTGTTCTGTCTCTCACGGGGCTGCTTTTGATAGACTGGATTGTTTTTTCCTTTTGTGTAAAAAACAGAAGTAAAGGCAGAAATTAAGCAGTTCTGCTTTTTTTTTTTTTTTTTCTTGTTACCTTTCATCTCCTTGCCATCTTCACCAGTCAGTGGACCGATCATTTCCTTTACTTTCCTCTTGGTGCTTATATGTCAAAAACAAAAAAAACACCTATTATTTTTGGCATTTTTTGCTCTTTTGAACCTTAAGGTTCTTGACTTGGTCTTTGCAGATTTGAGCTATTTGCTGGTATTCTGTTCTGGTTACAAACCCCTTTCCATTTTTTTTTTTTTTAATATATATTAGTCCTTTTTGCCAGAGAGCTCTTTCTGTAACCACGCTAGTTTATTGTTTCTGTTTGGGACTTTATTATCTGGTTTTCCAGGGTTTCCCAAGCATCCTGAATTGGTTTTCCCTACAGCAGTGGTTCTCATCCTTTTTAATGCCGTGACCCCCCAACCGGTCGTTAAGTCGAGGACTACTCAACTGGTGCAGCACCGTTTGCAGAATGGGACTTGGCGGGCTCAGCAGGGCAGAGACAGCCTGGACAATTCCTATTGGCTTTTGAAAGCCAATAGAATTAGACTCTATTCAAGAGAGTCTATTCTATTGGCTTTCAAAAACCAATAGAATAAAAGGGAGTAGCACAGCTAAGAAAAAGGGGAAAAAAATGGTGGACTGCGTTTGGCAACCCCCGTGAAATGGTCGTTCGACCCCAAATGGGGTCCTGACCCACAGGTTGAGAACCACTGCCCTACAGGATTTCTGGGGGGGGGGGTTGTCCCTCCCTGGATGGCCCTTTCAGTTCGGCCTCCTGCTCTGCAGGGGGTGGCGTTAACCTGGCAAACAGGGGAAGCTGCTTCCCTTCTAGAGGAGCAGGAGGCAGGCTCTGTTTTAGGAAGCTCCTCGCTCTGAGAACAGACCCCTTGGCTCCCCTCCGGTCTTTAAATTAAATCCCTTTCTTCGCAGAGAGGGGCAAATAATAAGCTGCTAAACGTGTCTCCTCCACAACAGGTGAGAAAACTGGGAGGAAGGTTGCCCTCCCCCAAGCCCTGTAAAAGTAGGTAAAGTAAAACAAATGTTCCCACAATTAAAGCTCTGTACAGCCAACCTGTCCCCTCCCCCCACTAATTTCTGCAGTTTCAGGGCTGATTTGAAGGGGACTCCCACCCCACCCCACCCCACACACATCCTGGAAGACGCCCTGCGGTAATGCAGCCTTGCTGTTCCTGGCACTCCTGTCACCGATGGGTGGGAACAGGAAGAAGCCGGCTTGGCGTGTCATCTGACACCCGTGCTAAAGCAAGGAGGCTGTGATGATGTCTCAAAGTGGCTCCTCTCCCCCCTCCCCCCCCCGCTGAAGCCCAGCCCCTGGGACTGGCGTTCCCGGCTCCTTCCGGGTCTTCTGAGCCATCAAGCCGTTGCTCCGCTTGCTCTCCGGGCATCCCTGACCGGTGGCTGTCTGGCAAAAGGGAGCCCCCTCCGGGGCCGGGCGCTTTAGCCAGGGGGCTTCCGATTGTTTAAGCCACAATCTTGACGACCTTCCTGGCCCTGAAGAGTGTGGATACCTACCCACCCCGGTTCCCATCACCCGGTCTGGAACAGGACCTGATGCTGGGAAGGGGGAGGGGTATGAGCCAGACGAATAAAGTGTTGCACCCCGAGGCTCGGAAGCTTCGCTTGGACTGAGGCAAAGCGCCTTCCCACCTTTTGTGGCCCCTTCGTGCTATTTAATTTGCCCGTTGCCTGCTATTTTCATAAGTCCGTTTTTCACTTCTGCATCTTCACAACCGGACAGGGGTCGTTTCTTCCTAAAATTTGTCTACCACTTGAACTGTTAGGCAGCACATAGAACTTGTCTAGCAAAAACAATACAGAATCAGAATTCATGATCACCAGAACAGCAACCAGAGCAAATAGCTAAGTTGTAGACAACAGCACCGCCAGGACAGTTCACAGCAAGGGTTCCCCGGAAGAGCGGTGTGTAGCCCTAACCCCGGCCCTTCCCCAGCTTTTTCCCTCCATCTGGTCAGGCCCTGGCTAGGAGAGGGCGGGGCCGCCCCACCTACGTGAAGCCCCTCCCCACCAGTTAAAAGCAGGTGCGGCTGATCTCCAGGCTGGAAGGCTCAGGCCAGGTTCAAGGACTGTCAGTTTGGATAGGCGGGTTCCCCCCCCCATAGGTCACTGGTTCAGCAGGCAAATATCTGCGTTCAGGGGGCATTTTGGGTTGTGTTTTCAGAATATTTTGCACAAATGCAAACCAGAAGACCGTCTGGTGCTCTGCTCCACAGTCTTGCGGCCCCTTTATGCCATTTGAGGGCTGGGTCAAGCTCCGAGGACCCCTTGCGTTAGAACCGCCATGCTGCTTCCAGCTCTCCTACAGTTATGGGGGGAGGGGAAAGATTTGGGGTGCCCAGGTGGCTCTGTCGGTGTGAGAGCCGAGGTCGCAGAAGAGGCGTTTTGGCGAACAGAGACTTTCTTCTCACGGAACCCTTGGAAGGCTCATGGGACAGTGGCCTGAACCATCAGAGGGGGGAGGGGAGGTTTTACTCTCTTAATTACCTTTTTCTCGTCAGAGCTGGAATTCCTTCTACCGTGTCGGTATGCTGTGCCTAATAACGTCATACATTAGAGATCGCAATGTCTCCAGTGGATTTACTTCGTTGGGCTTTTCAACCGGAACTTTGACGGGGGGGGGGGAGGATTCTTGCAATGTGCCACTTGTGCTTTTACTGGCACCGGGACCGCTTCCTGCCTATGGCCGGTGCCCTTTTAAGGGTTTGCTCAGAGGGGGAGGAAACGTGGTTTCCCCCCCCCCTTTTAGAATAATGTTGAACATACAATTAAAGCTTCTATTATTTCAGTTCACTTTTCATACTTGTGGGCCCTTCTGCACTTGGGTCTCAGTCGTTTGCCTTCTGGGGAAAAGGCCAAGGGTGGGTTGCTGGACCGAAACTGCCCCAGGGTCAAGCCGGCCAGGGGGGCAGCCTCATTGATCCCATTACTGATCCTGCTGAGGCTACGCCCTCCATCATCTGGGAGCCCCAGAGAGGCATCTTCTGATGAATGCCTCCCTTGGCAAGGAGGGGCGGCACCAGTTTATGCCCTCCCCTCCCTTGTCCAAATGACAAGCCCCTCCCCCCATGCTCTCAACCATTCCTCTTGCGCCTAGCTGGGAGGCAAGGAAGACTTCCCTAGAGCCATCTATGCCCTGAAGAGTTCTTCAGAATCAGACATTCCCTTTCTGCAGAAAGCGGTGGAGCTGTAGCCATGTACGCCAGGAGCATGACAGAACATGTATGTTCACTGGGAACCATAGGAATAAGGCCTGCAAAGCATTGCTCCCGGGGGGGGAGGGCGATTAGTCCCCTAGAGGCCCTGGGCCGAGAGCCCCCATCCTCCTCCTGCTCCTCCTCCTCCGTCTGGGAAGTTCCTCCAACGGTGCTGCCGTTAAAGGGACGACTAATCTTGTAACTTTGATTTCTCCCCTTGAGGAGCGCTTTTCTCTGGTTTGGTACCGATTAAGCAAGCTTTGCTCAGCATTTCGGCTGGTCGGGTCTTCGCGCGGCTGAAAATCCTCTTTGGCTCGAGCGGTTTAGCAAATCTGTGAAGCTTTCCACCAGCTCCCTGGGGCGGGGCGGGGGCGGGGGCGGGGGCGGGGGCGGGGCTTGTGTCGCGCCCTCCGTTTGTGAAAGGGGGGGGCGGGGGCGCAGCAGGGCGCGACTGTCCTCCTCTTGCTGGTCATTCGCCGTCATTGAAAACATCTGACCGGATTAGCAGCGGAGACGATGCTAAGTTCGGGCCGAACTTCACAGACTACCTGAATTCAGGATTTGGGGCGGGATGTTTGTTTGCCGCCCATCTCGGGGTAGTTGTTATTTGGTAACAGCCATAGTTATTTCATACTGTTTGTTATAAGGATATTTCCGTCGGACGCCGCGGGTTGGTAAAATGCGGCCTGAAAGCGAAGCAGAGATTCCAAAGCTAGAGAGGGCAGAGGGCGCCTGGAGGAGGGGGGGGACCTGGGCTGCGCGTCGTGGATTCCCCCCCCCCCCGGAACCTTTAAGGCCAGTTTCTTTCTCCCAGCCCAGCCTGTCTCCGGACGCCTCCTGCCCGTGGCCTTTTCAAGCTTGCGGCAGATGTTGCCGTTATGGGCTCATTTTCACCTAAAAGACGGTGGGAGGGGGCGGGGGCATCTTTCCCCACGCTTGGACCGGGGCCAGTCACCCGGCCGCAGGGAGCAGGAGCCCCCCCGCGCCCTCCAGTGCTTCCGCGGGTGACGGGGGGGGCCGCCCGGGCGGCCTTGACCGCTCCCGCTCTCGGGGTTTCGGCCAGAGCGAGCGCGCGCCGCCCGGCTTGGCCCAGGCCGAGAGAGGCAGGCCCCCGAAGGCGCGCGCCGGGAGGGGGCGGAGGAGGAGGAGAAAGGTCGCCCGGTCCCTGCCCCACCCGGCTGGTCGCTCTCCGTCCGCGAAGGCCGCCAGTGCCCTTGGCTCAAATCTCGAACCCGACGACAAACCCAGCCCTCCGGATGCAGCAGCTGCGGTTTCGATCCGGGTTTAGCCCGCTTTCCATTCCGACGCTCTGAAATTGTCCACTCCCCCCCCCGCCCAAGAACTGCCGGTCTCTACCTTCTCCCCCCTGGCTCCGGAGGAGCTCCACGGAATCCCAGCTGCCCCAAGAGTCTCCTCCGGCCCTCTTTCCCCCGAAGAGGGCAGGGCCTGCAACCGGAGGACCCCCGACAGCTGCATGGGGAGGGGACCAACGAGGGAGGCGTGGGGGGAGTCCTGGGGGGGGCGCCCTAAGGGGACAGTCCGAGAGCACCACGTCTGCCCCCTCCCACCCGGCAGGTACCAGCCACTCAGGAAGTTCTGGGGCCACCAGACAGACCCCTCCAAGGGGATCCAGGGGTGCCAGTCCCACCCTGAGGCGCCGAGGAGAGGGAGTGAGCAAGTCTGAGCACTGACGAAAGCAGCTCCAGGGAAGCTTCTTGCCAATCTTCAAGACTGGAGGGTAGGTGACAGTTGTCCTGTGCGGCCGGATCAGAGGTTGGCTTCCCGAGTAAGAACTGCGGGGGTTCTCTTCCTACTGGGATACAGCCCACCGGAAGCAGAGCTCACATCACCCAGGATCACCCAGGATCCCTGTCTTTCCTCAGGATCAATAAGCTCCCTAGATGTCTTCAAGCAGAGAAGGCCCAAAGTGCTTTAGTAGCTGCTACCCAAGCAGGAGCTTGGAGTCCTCGGGCCCTTCAAATTCACAGGGCCACAAAATGCCATGTGAAGCTTCCCTTCCCCTCTTTCAGATCTTCCAGTTGGCATCAGTGGAGACCCCGACCCAAGACTTTGAGAACAGTTTTGCCTTCTTTAGAACATGCAGGGTTTTATGGCCCCCAGTAGCTTTAGTACCTTTTGTTGGGTTCTTGCTGTTCTCTTATTTTCATGCAGGTGTTTCACCGAGAAAGTAGGTCATGTCCTCCTTGCCCAGCCTGTTAACGAAACATCTGCAAGGCAACAACCAAGAACACGAGGAACCCCTTCAGTTCAGCCCTGAGTTGCAGATGTTCTCTGCCACAGAGCGTTTTTTCCCCCTGCCACCTGTGTGTTCTCTGGCAGGGGGGGTGAGACCACCGGTGCAAGACAGGACATGCCAGAATTCATGTCAGTGGAATAGAGCTGTTCGTAATGGTGCTGAGAGAAGGGCTTCTTCTGCCACCGGGAGGTGAGTCTCTTATTTCCTCCCTCCCTCCCTCCCTCCCTTCCTCTCCTTTCTTCCTTCTCTCCCTCCCTCCCTTTCCTTCATTCCTTCACTCCTTTCCTCTCCCTCCTTCCTCCCTCCCTCCCTTTTCTTCATTCCCTCCTTCCTTCCCTCCCTCCCTCCCCTTCCTTCATTCCTTCTTCCCTCCCTTCTCTCCCTTCTTTCCTCCTTCCCCTTTCCTTCCTTCATTCCCTCCCTCCCTCCCTCCCTCTCCTCTCCTCTTCCTCCCTTCTTCCCTCCCTCCCTGGCATACAAGCCTTTCACTCTCTGGCCCTTCCAAGGTGTTTCCCTCCCAAGTTCTCCAAGTGGAAAGGGGTGCCCCCCCCCCAAGGAGGCAGCCAGCTGAAGCTCCACTGGCAGCTCTGGAGGGTCTCTTCGATGTGCAAGATTTCTTGCTGCAGCCAATGGGCGTCTTTTTCCTGCCAGGGCAGCAGGCAGAAGCTGAGCTGGGCCTTTCCAGCCAGAGAAGCTTGACCCTCTTCGGAATAAGCAGCCCAGGGCAGCCCTGCCTTTCCCAGCGCAATGCCAGGTAAACAGGAAAAGTTTCCAAGATATTCCGGGCCCTAAATTTAGGCCCTGATAAGAGCCATTGTTTCTGTCATCAGAGTTTCCTGTGACCTGAGTTGTGTTTTCCTCTGAGGGAAAAGGATAAGCGGAGACACCCTGGTGGCTGATGGCCGAAGAGCCGGATCTCCCTTATCCTGACCTGACGGTCCTGCAGCAGAGACCCAGAGGGAACCGGGTCCTCCCGAGAGCACAGGCCAAAGGTTCCTCCCACAGGTTCACTGACACCCAGGAACTGGCCACGCCAGCTTCTGCACGGAGCCTGGCCGAATTCCCAGGGAAGGCAAGACGCCCCTTCAGGAAGACAGGGGAGGAAGCCACCAGAGGGTGGAAAAGATCAGCAATGGAAATCCATACGGGGGGGGGGCGGGAGAGGGAGGTTGGCCTTTTCACAGGAACATTGATGCTCCTTTGGGATTTGCATAAAACCAGTAGAGACAAGGCAGAGATGATAGAGGCATGCACAGATGATAAGCGGAAATAACAACAATAATTCATTCTGTGTAGGCACCACCCAACTCCAGGACAATTCTGGGCAGCTCACAACCCAGCATAAAGCCTTCAACACAGGAAGACTAAGAAAGGCCCGGCTCAATAAAGACAATGCGTAGAAGAGAACAAGATGTCAAATTCAGCCCTTTTCACTGCCCCCCCACCCCCCACATGGGATGGACACTCACCTGTCCTACTTTGCAAAACATTCCAGTGCTGAGCTGGGAAATGACACCGGCAGAAGCTGGCAACTTTGGATTTAATAATGGTCAACTTTATACATTGTAGTGTCAGCTGAAGGGCGACCACGTTCGCTTCCTGGCCTGGTTAGAGCAGTGCTTCTCCAGCAGCAGCAGCTGATGAATTTCAGGAGATCCACAAATTTCCATGGGGAGGGGAAAATAATTCAAGTCTGAAATTTAGCTTTCTGATCAATAATGTGTGTATCTGTCATAAGACGCTGCAAAGGCCTTTTACAGTGAGGCAAAAAAGTATTTAGTCAGCCACCAATTGTGCAAGTTCTCCCACTTAAAAAGATGAGAGAGGCCTGTAATTGTCAACATAGGTAGACCTCAACTATGAGAGACAAAATGAGAAAACAAATCCAGACAATCGCATTGTCTGATTTGGAAAGAATTTATTTGCAAATTATGGTGGAAAATAAGTATTTGATCACCTACAAACAAGCAAGATTTCTGGCTCTCACAGACCTGTAACTTCTTCTTTAAGAGGCTCCTCTGTCTTCCACTCATTACCTGTATTAATGGCAGCTGTTTGAACTTGTTATCAGTATAAAAGACACCTGTCCACAACCTCAAACAGTCACACTCCAAACTCCACTATGGTGAAGACCAAAGAGCTGTCGAAGGACACCAGAAACAAAATTGTAGACCTGCACCAGGCTGGGAAGACTGAATCTGCAATAGGCAAGCAGCTTGGTGTGAAGAAATCAACTGTGGGAGCAATAATTAGAAAATGGAAGGCATACAAGACCACTGATAATCTCCCTCGATCTGGGGTTTCACGCAAGATCTCACCCCGTGGGGTCAACATGATCACAAGAATGGTGAGCAAAAATCCCAGAACCACACGGTGAATGACCTGCAGAGAGCTGGGACCAACGTAAAAAGGTAACCATCAGTAACACATTATGCCTCCAGGGACTCAGATCCTGCAGTGCCAGACGTGTCCCCCTGCTTAAGCCAGTACATACCCGGGCCCATCTGAAGTTTGCTAGAGAGCATTTGGATGATCCAGAAGAGGATTGGGAGAATGTCATGTGGTCAGATGAAACCAAAGTAGAACTGTTTGGTAGAAACACAACTCGTCGTGTTTGGAGGAGAGAGAATGCTGCATCCAAAGAACACCATACTTACTGTGAAGCATGAGGGTGGCAACATCATGCTTTGGGGCTGTTTCTCTGCAAAGGGACCAGGACGACTGATCCGTGTACAGGAAAGAATGAATGGGGCCATGTATCATGAGATTTTGAGTGCAAACCTCCTTCCATCAGCAAGGGCATTGAAGATGAAACGTGGCTGGGTCTTTCAGCATGACAATGATCCCAAACACACTGCCCGGGCAACAAAGGAGTGGCTTTGTAAGAAGCATTTCAAGGTCCTGGAGTGGCCTAGCCAGTCTCCAGATCTCAACCCCATAGAAAACCTTTGGAGGGAGTTGAAAGTCCGTGTTGCCCAACGACAGCCCCAAAACATCACTGCTTTAGAGATCTGCATGGAGGAATGGGCCAACATACCAGCAGCAGTGTGTGCCAACCTTGTGAAGACTTACAAAAAATGTTTGACCTCTGTCATTGCCAACAAAGGATATATAACAAAGTATTGAGATGAACTTTTGATATTGACCACGTACTTATTTTCCACCATAATTTGCAAATAAATTCTTTCCAAATCAGACAATGTGATTGTCTGGATTTGTTTTCTCATTTTGTCTCTCATAGTTGAGGTCTACCTATGATGACAATTACAGGCCTCTCTCATCTTTTTAAGTGGGAGAACTTGCACAATTGGTGGCTGACTAAATACTTTTTTGCCCCACTGTATATACTGTAGTTCATGTTATTTTCTGAGTCAAGTCATAATTAGATATGGATGCCCTACATCCATCCTTAGATGGCCATCAATGTAAGTCGGGGACTGGTGGCATCAGCCTAGGCGACACGACAGTGATAGGTCACCCATTTTGAGAGCTTTGCATCCTGGTCACTTTCATCAGCTCTGTCACCATCAGTACACAAATGTAAAAAGCCCCAACACTCTTGCAAGCAAAAATAAACTACTGGTATTTTTGGAATGCTTATCTCTGGGGTAAATATTTGGACAGCTGCAGCACACAAGGCAGCTCTCTGCCTTGTCTCGTTCTCCCCCTGCTCTGCCCTGAAATGTTACTGAGTTTTTATGCTTTCAAGCTACTTTTTTTATTATTCCAGTAATGGGAGGAGATGGCAAGGAGGTGACAGGCATCAGGGAGAAAGAACAGCTGACTAATTCACTCTTTGTTTTTGTCATCCCGCAAAAGAAAAAAGTCCAACCCCTCCGGACAGCCCAGCCCAGCCTCCCAAAGCGGTGGAGGTTTTTAAGAAGGGGCTGGACAGCCACTTGTCCAGAACGAACAGGGTTACCTGCTCAAGCTTCAGTCTTTCAACTTGTAATTACAAAACGCTCCAAACAGACTCCGTGGTCTTAAGGCATCACTTTCCTTGATTAAAGTTTTAAAAATTAAATCTTATTTCTTCTAGCAGTCGACGTGATGTGCCGGTGCCTGGAAGATGTGAGGGTCTGGATGGGGGTGAACAGGCTTAGACTCAACCCTGACAAGACCGAGTGGCTTTGGGTCTTGCCCCCCCCCCAAGGGTCATCCTGATGGTCCATCATTGGTCGGGGGGGGTGGGTGGGTGGGTGGGTAAACTTACCTCCCTCAGTGCAGGCACGCAACTTGGGTGTCCTCCTGGACTCACAGCTAAATTTGGAACAACATCTATTGGCTGTGGCCAGGGGGACCTTTGCCCAGGTTCGCCTGGTGCACCAGTTGCGGCCTTATTTGGTCCGGGAGGCTCTACTCATGGTTACTCATGCACTTGTCACCTCAAGACTGGATTACTGTAATGCGCTCTACATGGGGCTACCCTTGAAGAGCGTTCGGAGACTGCAGTTGGTTCAGAATGCAGCCGCGAGCGTGTCACCTATCCTCCGCGAGCTGCACTGGCTTCCTGTGGGTCTCCAGATGCAATTCAAGGGTTATCACCTTTAAAGCCCTTCATGGCTTAGGACCAGGTTACTTACAGGACCCCATACTGCCGCACAGTTCCCAGAGACCGGTGAGGTCCCACAGATTGGGCCTCCTTCAGATCCCGTTGGCCAGACAATGTCGGCTGGCGGGCCGTTGGGGAAGGGCCTTTTCTGTGGTGGCTCCGACGTGGTGGAATCAACCCCCCCCCGAGATTCGAACTACTCCCACCTTGCCAGCCTTCAAGAAAGCCATTAAAACTCTCCTGTTCCGGCAGGCCTGGGGTTGATGTCCCCGGGGGGGCCGGGACACGATTGGGACATGTTGTATGAATGCACTCATTTTATTGTTATATTTATTGTTTTAATTTTGTACGCCGCCCTGAGTCCCTAGGGATTGGGCGGCATATAAATTTTATTAATAAATAAATAAATAAATAAATAGTTTAGGAGTATTCCGTGCTTATGTGGTGGAAAGCCGATTAAGATTTTCTTGTCCTGTTGTTAAAACGCTTGTATGTTTTCATTGATCTTATCTTCAAGAAGCTGCATTTCCTACTAGGCCAGTGATTCTCAACCTTTCTAATGCCGTGACCCCATAATACAGTTCCCCATGTTGTGGTGATCCCCAAGTGGGTGTGGCCACCAATAAGAGGGAGTAGGACAGCTAGGGAAAAGGGAAAAAAATGGCGGACAGCATGGTTTGGCGACCCCCGTGAAATGGTCATTTGACCCCAAATGGGGTCCCGACCCACAGGTTGAGAACCACTGTACTAGGCCCTTTCTGGTTAACACATTTTTATAGAGAGATTAAATGAGGAGCTCATCTTCACAAGCTCCAGGACTCCAAGAACAAGAGAGTTTCTTAAGCTGTTTTGAAAAAAGAAGCGCACCAATGCCCATTCAATTTTACACCTAAATCTCTTAAATCTCCTTCTGTGAGCTGCAAATGGCACACCGAAAGCTCCTTGAAATCTTTCGCAAAAGAAGGAGAAGCGCCGGGAGGTGGACCTCGGTGGGAACTTGGCCCGAGTTGTGTGAATGGTGGTGCCTTGACCTAGAAATGCAGCAATCCGCCCCAGGCCCAAAACGCTGCCCGAAAGGCCCTTTCTCCAGCAAGGGTCAGGAGAACAGCAAGGGCGGACTTTCCTTTCTGCAGCTTTTAACGGGGCCGAATGCGTGTCCTTCGTGTCCCCTTTTCCTGGAGCTGCTGGATAACGAGGCTGGATTCAAAAGGACATTGTGCCCAAATGAGTAAGACCCAATTTTCCATGGGACAGTGCCAACTGCAGGACCTGCCAGAGGACCCTGGGAAGTCAAGTGACCGCCAGAAACGAAGAAGCACCAAAGGACCAGCGCAGGTCTTGCCCCAACAAGGATCGTGATTGCTGCCGCCTCAGGGCTCCTGGTCAGTGGGGCCCGTGGGTGCAATGCAGGACCGTCCCTCTGTCCCCCCTGCCCCCACCCAGGTTTTGCAGCTCTGCCCGGCCCCGCTTCCTTCCGCCTCGGCCACAGCCCCCTCCCCCGCAGGAGCCGATGGTTAACCTCCCATCCTGGACTGCTGCTCAGCTTGGATTCAGGGGTGGCCCATAAAGACCAGGAAAGTCAACACTGCGTTTCCCCCCACATCTCCCGGCCGCCCTTTGGGCTCCTGCCAGGGCTCCCTTTTCTAAGAACAAATCTTTGCTTTGCAACCAGGCTTCCCGGCTTCTTTGCTTCTACCAGCCGCAACTGTCAGTTCTTTCATCGCCACAAAGTTTCTGAGCACCCACCGTGGAAAGAAGGAACAAAGTGTCCCCTATGCTTTAATCAAACAGCATCAGCAAGTGGGAGGTGGGGGGAGAAGGGGTTTTGCATTTGCAAAGAGGTCTTAACCCCCCCCCCCCAGGGCATCCAAAGATCTGTGGGGCCAAGACCCAAGGACTTTGCCCGGGAGGTGAGTGGGGGAGTTGCTCCACACAGTTTCCCAGGCAGAGAATGAACAGGAAGCAAGATGAGGCTGAGGAAAACAGGGTTCCCCGGGCCCAGGGCAACCCCTTGCCTCCCGTAGCATTATTGAGTGCGCCCCCTCCCCATTCGGGGAACATGCGGTTCAGAGGAACGCTCCGCTGGTCCTGCTTTGTCTGCATGGTCCCCGTCGCTCCCACGGGGCATCTTCCGGCCTAGGTTTGCTCAGGAATAAAGGTCTTGTTTCAAACTTCACTAGAAAAGCTTCAGTTACAAAAGCGGCCATCTCCTCCTCTGGGGACACGAAACCTAGAAAGTAATGAGAGCTTGATCTTTCTATATCCAGAAAATAGTCATCATTTGTTCAGGTGACTCATATCTGGTTCAGGAATAACTGGAAAATATTTAGCAGCATCGGAAGCTTTTAAAGAGGCCTTTTAATTGCAGATACTGGGGTTTTAATTCATTTATTCTTGGTAATGAATCTGTTATTTATTATATTCAATATTCCATAAATGCTCATTCATGAATGGATCAAACTGCTATATGATCCTATGAGCTAGTCAATACAGGAATTCAATCAGAATGTGGCTGCAAGTAGAATACGGCTCTAAAACAGAAGCCTACTCTCCAAATTTCAGAAAGTAATTGTGTTTCTTTCTCTCCTGCTCTGCTGGCCAGATTCTGCCAGGAATAGTGCCCTATTGTTACCAAGCCAAACAATGGAACATGTTATCAAGGAGACTTTAGTGAACAGCTAGAAAAGAATGAATTGCTTGGCAGGAGCCAGGAGGTCTTAATCAGGAACAAGTTTATACCAAAACAATGCAAACTCCCGAGAAGCCCCCATTGAGTTAACCAGAGAAATGCAGGGGATGCTGCTACGTACCAGGACTTACTGTAGAGCAACCTGTAGGAGGACCTCTCCACGTGATCCCAGCAGAGAAGGTGGCAAAATGCGGGCTGGACTTAAGCTACCATCAGAGGCATCCAACACAGGGCTGGTTGGACAAGAGCATCCAGGGTGTGTTTGTCAAAGGCTGGGCATGAAAACCCAAGAGAGTGTTGAATGATGCACTGCAAACTGCCTGTCTAAGCACATGTTATTCAATACCTTTGTAAATGACAAGTGCGTAGAAGAAAGTGCTGTAAAATTGGCAGAAGCCAGAAGGATAGTAGGAGAGGAAATAGCTTTCAGAGCAGCATCAGCATGACCTTCCCAAGCTGGAGTAATAAGCAGAAAATGAGAGGTGCAAACAGCTAACAGACTCAAGAAAAGGACGTCTGGGTGCTTATAAGATACACTTAGTATTGTCGTGTACCTAGACAAGAAAGCCAAATGGGCAGGTATAGAACAGTTGGTACCGGGCTCAACAGCAGTAACTGGAAGAGGGATCTAGGAGGCCTAGTGGACAATTGCTTAAGTTTGAGCCAGCCATGTGCTGCAACCACCAAAAAAGCCAACGTAGTCCTAGGCTGCATTGACAAAGGGACAGAATTGAGGTCACATGAAGTATTAGTATAACTTTACAAGGCCTCGGTAAGGCCACACTTGGAATGCTGCATCCAGTTCTGGTCACCACGATGTAAGAAATATGTTGAGACTCTGGAAAGACTGCAGAGAAGAGCAACAAAGATGATTAGGGGACTGGAGGCTAAAACATATGAAGAACGGTTGCTGGAATTGGGTTTGTCTAGTTTAATGAACAGAAGGACTAGGGGTGACATGATAGCACTGTTCCAATATTTGAGGGGCTGCCACAAAGAAGAGAAGGTCCACTTATTCTCCAAAGCTCCCAAAGGCAGAACAAGAAGCAATAGATGGAAGAACTGCAAGGTCCCTTCCAACTCTGTTATTCTGTTAGGTGCCAAGCTAACGCCAATGCCAGGTCAGCCACGTACACAGAGAGGAAGCACTTTTCTGAGACTCAGAGCTCCCGAGTGCTGCAACTGGCTGCCTTCACTGAAGAGGTTTTGGGAAAGGCTGGGTTCCAGCCCTAGCCAGGAGTTGGACAGGAGGATCCCCAAGGAACAACCCCCAAACCCTGCATATTCTTTGACTGAATGTGGTGATGCAGCTTTTCTGTCAACTCTACAATGAACCTGGCTGCAGCCATTTTTGTCGTTCTAGGCCCCCGCCGTATTTATGCAGCTGATCAATCAGGTGCTGCATGATCATCTTTACAAGGGGGTGTTAGTCTACCTTGTGACATCCTCATTTACACAGAAACCGTGGAGGAGCATGTGAAGTTGGTCCGGGAGGTGCTCAAGAGGCTCTTAAAGGCAAACCTTTACGCTAAATTGTCTAAGTGTGAATTCCACCAGTCCTGCCTCAACTATTTAGGGTACTAGATTTCCAGTGAGGGGGTGGAAATGGACCCTGCCAAACTTAAGGCTGTATTGGAAGGGCAAACAACTCGCAAATAGCTGCAGAGCTTTTTGGGTTTCGCAAACTTTTACGGGTAGTTCATTCCTTCCTTTGCTGCAATAGCTTTACCAATCACTGAACTGTTGAAAACAGGTACAGGAGGTGGGAGACTTCGTTCCGGTCAACCCTTGAAGTGGACCATGGTGTTCGAGCAGCTAAAAAGACTATTTGCGGAGGAACCAATCCTTAAATACCCCGACCCTGAAAAGCAATTAATCATCCAGGCTGATGCTAGTGATGTTGCTGTAGGTGCCCTGCTCCTACAGAGGAACGACAAAGGGAACTACAACCATGCGCTACACCTCAAAGAAAGGTGCGACAATGAGCTTTTGCAGCAAGATGGGCATTACTCACATGGTGGCACTTTTTAGAGGGGAGCATTTTGAGGTATGGACTGGTCATAAAAACCTAGAGGCACTGAAGACCCCATGTAGATTATCTCCTAAACAGGTCTGATGGGCACAATGTTTCAGCTGTTTTAACTTTGCCCCAAAGTACAATCTGGGGGGAAAGACCCTTCTGGCTGACGCACTGTCCAGAATGCCTCAGTACAAAAGCTGCCGTGAAGAAGTAATTAATGCAATTATTTCCCTACCACAAAAGGCCTTTCAAGTAACCAATCTAAGTTGTACCTTCCCAGTACTCTACAGGGCTTTTCAACCGGTGGTACGCAAGCACCTGTGGTGGTTCGCGTAGGACGGGTTGAAAAAAAAAAAGTAAAAAAAAAGTGTAAAAGTGGATGAGGTGAAGTGGCAGCAGCACAGGCAGCGGCACAGTGGCAAAGTCAGCTGGAACTGCACGCTGCCTGGGTCCTACTGAGAGCCCAGGATCAAAGCGCGCAACTCCAGCTGATTGGGGGCAGCCTTGGTGATACTTGGATATTGCCTTATCCTAAAAGTGGTACAATGGGTGAAAAGGTTGAAAAGCCCTGCTCCAAGAATCCAGGTCCTCCAGCGGAGCCATGATGCTAAACAAGCTGGCCACTTTGGGTTCCTGAAAACTCTACTCTTTTGGTAGGACTTTGGAAACAGGCCTTCTTCTCCCTAGCTGCCCTGGCCCTTTGCAGCAGCCTTCCTGAGGTTTGGAAGGCCAGGAAGATGGGCTTTGGGCTGGGAGGGGCCAGTGGTGGTTGAACTGATGGAGAAGATGCTGCTTTGTGCACAGGATTGTTTTACTGTTGTTTGTATTGGTTTTGTTGTGAACAGCCTAGGATTAGGGTAAGATAGGCAGCCGGAAGGAAGGAAGGAAGGGAAAGGAAAGGAAAGGAAAGGAAAGGAAAAAGGGAGGACTCACCTACTTGTGGCAGAAGGAACCATTATGAGCTAGGAAAAAAAAAAAATGAGTGTGCAACCGATGGGCCCCCAAGAGCAGAGCCTGCAAGTCTTCCTTCTAGCTTCGATTGCTAGCAGAGTCGGGCCCTGGGCAGGTAAGGAGACTGCTCGTATGTTGAAAACAGGCTACTTGCAGGACCCACCAACAGTTGGCCTTGTGCACCAGAGGGCATAAAGTTAGATAAAAAGTGGCACTGGAGGAGAACTGCCAAGTATCGGATGAACTCTGGGCAAGCAGTTGTGTGTATCTTATGCATTAATTGCTACGGAATGGCTTTCTAAACAAAAAGCATTTGCTGCGCTCAGGTCAAATATGTGCAAACACTCCCTGATGGAAGCTATGCAACGGAAGAAGAATGCGGAGAGGTTTTGTAAGGGTTCTCAGCCCCTCCTGCAAATGCGGAGCTAGTGTGGAAATGAAAAGGGCAAGGACAGGATGGCCTGTTGTGTCTTCTGAAGTCAGCTGGCGGGGGAGGGGGGGAGCTACACGGAACCGGGCTGCTCCTTTCTCTGGTATCTCTCAGGCAACCCGTGTTTCTCCTTGCCGGCAGACTCTGGGCTCCTGCTCCTGGGCCTCTCCCCTCCTGGGCTCGCTGGGAAGCAGGCCCAGCCTCACCCTGTCAGGTGCCCGGCTCACGAGCAAAGAAGGCAAGGCCTTCCCGGGGCTTCTGGCCAGCTGACTTCCTGGAACAACCCCTGGCGCACTGGGTGTTCGGTTGTGCAGTCGCGGGGTTTCCCTCCGCGAGAAGGTAAACGTGCCTTTTTCTTGCCTCCAAGCGCAACAGTCCTTAGGCACGGTGGGAAACGCTGTTTAATTCAGGCGAGCGAGCAGCCAGCGGCTGAGTTCACACGTTCAGGTTTTCTGGTTCCAGGAAATCAGCCTGGCTCCTGGTGCCCAACCGCAGGGCGGCTGGCATTCCCCCTTGCAGCGGGACTCGGAAAGGCACATCGCCCGCCGCTGAATGCGGAGTCACCGGGATCAGCGCTCGCCAAGGCCGAGGATGGGAGCCCTGCGGCTCCCGGAGGCGCAGAGCACGCGCGGGGGCCGGACCGCGGCGGCGGCGGCGGTGAGCGTCCCCCGGCCTCCGGGGTCTCGTCTCGGCGCCCACTCTCCAGCGGGAGGAGCCGCGGCCTCGGAGACGCCGTGCCCAGCCGCCGCGCCTGCGCGCTCCGCCCGTGGCTCCGCCCGGCTGGGATGGCCTCCCGGCTGTCGCCGCCCGCCCACCTCCCCGCGCGCCCACCTCCCCGCGGGCGCCTCGGGCCGGCGAGAGAGAAGGGCGCGGCGGGCAGAGCGCAGCTGGACCTCGCGCGTCTCGCCTCCCGGATCAGGTAGGCCGCGCCGGCGGCGAAGCGCCGTCCCCGAGCACGGCAGCCGCCCCGCCCCTCCACGTGCAGCAGCAGCCGCGGCGGCGGTCTGGCTGGCCGCTCGGCGCGACGTCGCCCTCGGAGCCTCGGCGGAAAGGCCGGGCCCCAGCCGCTGGCCCGCGAGCGGCGAGAGGAGTGCGGCCGCCGCCCTGCCCCAGCGGAGCCCGTCTCTCCCTCAGGCGCGCCCGCCCGGTTCCGCCTTGGCCGCTGGGCTGCTCGCGTGGCCTCGGCCTCTCCGTCCCGGGGAAGCCGTGGGGAGCCCTCCCGCCCGGCGCCTCGTTCTGCTGCCGCCCGTGGCGGGGCTCCTCCTCCCGCCTGGCCTGCAGAGGCCGCTGCTCTCGGAGCCCGGGGGAGTCCTGCAGCGGGGTCCGGGGCCAGCCCGACCAGCAGAGCGGGGGTGGCGGCGCTGAGCGCCTTGCCGGTGGCCCGAGCGCGGAGGAGGGGCTGGCAGCTGCGGCGCGGCCCCGTCAGCTCTCCGGGTCATCCGGGAGAGCGAGCCAGAAGGGGCCGGGCGGCTCGGCCATCGTTTGCTATCCCCGGCCGAGCAAGGCGGCGGCCTTTCTTGCCCTGCGCCGCCCGCCTGGAGCGGGCCGGTGGGCCGGTGGCGGCGATTGCCGAGGGGCTGGTGTGGTTCAGGCCTGCCGAGCTTTTTCTCGCGTGGGGGGCGCTGCAGGGTCCCCAGTTCGGGCCCGGGCGCTTGGCCGGCTGCCCTACTGGGGGATTTGGCCGTTCCGCCGTTTTGAGGCAGCCTGGGAGGGAGCAGACGCCGGGCCCTGCCGGACCGAACCTCCGGCCCATCTTCGCCAGCGGTCTCTCTCCCGGCGGCCCGCCACCTGCCCCAGGAAGCCCCCCGGAGTCTCCCGGCGGAGGGCTGCCGGCAAGGCTGATAGGCTTCGGGCTGCTGCCGGGGCAGCGGAGCTAGCCAGGTAGAGGCGCTCGGCTTCTCTCGAGGAGCAAAGCAGGGAGGATGCGAGAGCGCCGGGAAACGCGTGGGCTGCTCGAGTGGGAAGGTCGTAAAGTGTCCCTGGAGGAGCCTAAGGGCGCCTGTGAAACCCTGCTGAAAACAGATCCCCGGGGCTCCCGTTGGCTGGCGACTTTGGCCAGCACTGCGGTCTCACCGGGAAGTTCGACGCAGACTATTTGGATGACCCCGGCTGAACTCTTTAGAGGGGGGGTCTCTAAGCCCTCTGAATCTCGCCCTGAATGTTAGAAAGAAGTGGACTAGTAGGGACTACATCTGCCGGACCTCTCGGTGGATTGAGCGTCCTCACCAGCCGACTGAATGACTTAAGGGGGGGGGGCATTCTTTGAATCTCTAGCAAGAAAGATTCAGGCCACCACATTCCCCCCCCCCCGACTGTTTTGGGTGGCAGTGCAAAAGAAGCCTTTGCCACTTCCTGGGGCGTGTCTCTAACTTCCCAGTCTAGCCCAAATTCCTGGGGTTTCCTGGTGGTCTCTCATCCCAGGGTCAGCCTGGGGCTCTGTGTGTGTGTGTGTGTGTGTGTGTGTGTGTGTGTGCGCGCGCGTGTGTGCGTGTGTGTGTGTGTGTGTGTGTGTGCTGGTGGTTTCTTGCTTGCAAGGGCTGAGGCTGTCTGTGGGGAAGAATTACTTATCCTGTTCTCCGAGCACCCTTGAGTAGTTCAGGTGGAGGGAAGGGAGCCCTGGAGGACCATGGAGAGGAGGAAGTCCACATGGTTTCCAGACTTGCTCCCCGGATGAGCCCAGTGTCTTCTGCCGGGACCCCCACCCCATGGATTCAGGCCGCCACAAATGGGATCTCTGGCTGAAAGGACCAATGGCGGCTTTGGTGGGGCTCCTGGCCCTCCAGGGTGAGGTGATTGGGGAGAAAGGTGCCCTGCACCTACGAGGGAACCTAGGACGTGTGGGGTGAGCAAAAGACTGCCCTCCTCCGGTGGGCCTTGCTTGGAATTTGACCCTGGCCAGGGCTCTGGGGTGGGGCAAGGGGAGGAGCTGGGGCTTCTGGGTGTGGCTGTTGTGTGCTCAGGCGGGTTCAGCATCAGCATTCCAGAGGACGAACCCAGAGCTGGGACCCTACGACTAGTCAGGGCAGCCACCAAGTGAGAGGGGAGGCGGCTCTCCTGAACCTTTGGCCCTGGGAAGGCCCCCTCCCTTTCCCTGCAGGTCCTTCAGGTCCCCTCCCCCCACCCCGTGCTCTGGCTCAGCCTGGCAGCAGCCCTTCTCCCTCGGACAGGGCCCCCCCCAGTGCTTGCTCCTTGGTGGCTGCAACAGCACCTGTGTGAGGATTGTGCCCCACAGGGCGGGTGGCAAGGGTCTCTGACAGCCCCTCTTCTGCCCCCAAGGGCTTGTGCACCTGGGCTCTGCTCCCCGCGGCCTGAGTCAGGTGGCCCCCTGCCCCTCCCTCTCTGGCTGGAGAGTGGGATTAATGTCAGCCGGCACTCAGGGCTCCCCCCTCCACACACAGCAGGGGGAGAGGAGGCGTCTGCATTCCATGCGTTCCATGGGCTGGGCTGGCTGGCGGGATTTGCTCTGGCAGCCAGAAGGTTTTTGCTGCCTCTCACCATTTACCGAGGCGCCCAGCAGCTGCTCTCTCTGCCTGCGCCCAGCCCAGGCCTTTGCTGTGCCAGGGAGGATCCCCCGGCCACTGCCCTGCATGAACTGCCCATGGCATGGCGCTCTCCCCCCCCCCCCCCGTGTGTGTATGTGTGTGTGTGACAAGCGGCTGGCTGGGAGTTTGGCAGGTTCTTCAACTAAATCAGTGTGGGGGGGGGGTGGAAGCCTTGAGGCCCTCAGAAAGGAAGAAGCCCCCCCACCCTCGGTTCCTGTGCTTAGGCCAGAAGAGGCCGTCCCTGGTTGGCACTTTCATCCGGGCGGTGAATCATCTTTGTGGGCAGGGCAGGTGATGGTTTGGCAAACCCTTCAGGCGGGTGATATGTGCAGTGGGCCGGCCCCAGTGAGTGACAGGGCTGTGGGGGTGGGGCCTCCAGCCTATTCTGCCTCTGAAGTGTTCTGGCAGCAGGGGGCAGCACTGGCTCAGGAGTGGATGGCTTTACCCAGAGATGTCAGGAAACACTGGGTCCCGTGGGGGAGGGGATTGGTCCCCATGGTCGTGTCGCCCTGAGCCGCCAGCCCCTGCCCAGTCTTCCAAGTCAGAGGCACACAGAGGCACCCCTGCGGACCTGAGTGTGAATCAGAAGGGACTTCAGAGAATATCTAGTCCACCTCCCCCCAACTGGAATCTCTCTGTCCATCAGAGGGTCTCCCTTGTCTATTGGAGAGGCCTTCCTGACCTCTTCAGACCGTCTTTCCTTCCAACCGCTGTGTCTGGTCCTGCCCTCTGGGGCGACATCCGCTTCCTCTGCTGCCTGGCGCCTTTAGACGTTTGCTGTCCAGTGTGAGGGACATAGAGGGGCTTTGTCCACCCCCAGTAATGCCTCCCGTGATCGCCTTGGCCGTTTCAGCAGCTGCCTCCCCCTCCTGGCTCACAAATACATACTGGGTATGTATTTGGGGGATTCTCAGTGTCCTCCGCCTCCCCCCCCCCACTGCCGGCTTGGGCCTGTGGGTTCTGTCTGCAGAGAGGATCGGCTGTCTGCAGAGAATCAGCCTGAGCCACTCAGAGACGAAGGGATCTGCCGGGCACCAACCCTGGTGGAGGGCGGGCTGAAGGACTCGCCCTCCCTTCCCCTGCCGCCTCTGTCTGTTGTCGCCTATCGGGAAGTGGGGGCTAAAGTGGCTGTTCCTAAGGCAAAGCTGGGTCCCCAGGGCCACTGCTTGACGAGCCCGTGAGGCTCAGAGGGGGGCCTGGCCACAGAAGGATGGGGGGGGGGCAGTGGCTGAAAGGAAGCCACCAGAAGAGGGTTTCCCGGTTGACCTGCCCGAGTCTGACTGGAAGAGACCACCCTTTCTCTTCCAGCAGGTGCAGGTAGTCCTTGAGCTATGAGTGCTGTTGGGAGGGGAATTTTGGTCACTAAGCGATGTGGTGGCTAAATGAGTCATCACATGACCAGACTTGATTTTATTGAAACTAGCTTCCCCCATTGACTTTGCTTGTCGGAAGCCATGGGGGAAGGTTGCAAACCCCAGAGAGAGTCCTTTTTTTCAGAGGCTGCTGTACTTTGAATTGCCATTAAACGAAACTCGCAAATCTCTGGCTGGGCAGAATGAGGAGAGAAGGCTTGGCCAGCAGGGACTGCGGAAGAAGCGGGCAGGGCCAGCCCTCCTGGGCGGGGGCCTGCCTAGAGGCCAGTCTTGGCTTTGA